AACATTGACTGTTTTGCAACATTATAATATAAAGGAACATTGACTGTTTTGCAACATTATAATATAAAGGAACATTGACTTTTTTCTCCTCGGTATTATAAAATAGGATACCACGAAACAAGAATTAGCATTCTAAGGAAAGCCTCAGGGAAACGAGGTACTTTCGCCGGGATAAATGAACCACGGGGTGTACAGATAGTATTCGAGGCTCCGACTTTCACGCCCTCTAATTACCCCATAGACGCAGCGGACCCTTCAATGAGGCGCCATAAATTTCGTTCACGTTTGAAAACGGCCCCAGAAAGTGATACGGCACGGTAGAAAAGCCTTTTGTGAACCAGACGATGCGTCTTGAAAATCACCCACTAAAACGGAAAGGAGTTCGATAAAGTATTCGATCATCCGCCAACTTATCGTTGTGTAAGCTTGACGATCTTATCTAAATAAATGTTGTCTATTCGAATAAAACTGGTCGTATCTGTACACGATTCATTACGTTCTCGATAGCATTATATTACTTCATTACCGGGAGAGACATTTACATTTGAAAACGGTGGCGATACCGACGGTACTCGGCCATCATAAATCACAATGAATTTCAACCGCGTGTTCTCTTTGATGTTTATCACGGCAACGATACAAATGCATTCCGCGTAATCAAGTTTCTTCAACGATCGTGAGCTTATGCACGCATATTCAACCGTTTATGTGTCTCGAGATCGTGTTCTCGTAACACCGATCCGCAATAAAACTGAGTTAATGATACCGTGTCTAACGCACGCTGATTTGTGCGATTTGGGCGGCATAATCGCTCCCGCTATCACTTATTGCACACTTAGGAGAAACGTTAACGTAAATACCGTTACAAATGTAATAAATCATACTATAGATATAGCGTCGCGTTCATTATTCCCAGCAATTATAAAAAAAAATCAAGATATCAAATAGGACAAACAAAGATAGATCAAAGATCTCCCACGATTTAAACTATTGCATTAGAAACATACAGAGTGCTCGAAAGAACATATCGCGACTCCATAAGATATGGGTTTTCCGACTAGATATAAATCTAAAGCAGGATATAAAACTTGTTTTCATAAGTCTTCGTTATGCCTACGCAATTTTATGACTACGCAAGGAAACCGGTAACGGAAAATTTAAAATGTATCGATTAAAATACCTAAATGTCTCACCGAGAGGTGAGAATGACACAATTTTTCTCATTCTAAACGTCATGTATCGTTGTTCGTCATCTGTGTCGTCTTCGTGTTTTTACAGTTCATAGTACACGCTATATTAGTGGTACTAGTGTCTCGACCGATTGGTTCTCGGCGTGCGTGACGATAAAAGCAAATTATTTATTATAGGCCTGAGCAACGAATGCCGGTAGACACGTTGATGGCTCTATATTTACCCGAAGACTTTAATCTACGATGAAATAATCCATAATGCTGTATCAATAAATTTTCCTACGCGCGTGTATCGCTTGTACCAGCAACACTGAAGAGCACTTGCCGGGGCGAGTGCGAAATGAGTCAACGACTTTCGATCCGCGAAGCACATAGAACCTGTTCCGCGAGAGCACAAGCCGATCAATTGCCTTTTCCCGTTCCTACGATTCCTCCTACGATCGCCGCATTCCGCCGCATCGTCGACACGATTTGCAACTCATAATCGGACGATTATGTCTTCCGTTTCTCTCGCAAACATCGTGGAAATGTGAAGCCACTTTCCTCCCGAATCAACTTACCGGTCGGTTCATTGACTGTAAATTTGTTTCAGATGCTCAATGGAGAAATGAAGAAGTTGATCAAGGAATCATTTTACACAGCCGTGTTACGACCATACGAAAGTAGTGTTAGTCGAGACAAGAACACAGCACACGGTGTCTTCTGAATATTGAATTCTTTTTCTGTGAAAGGATTCGGTATTTATAGAAGTCCTAAAGAATAAAGGTTCGTTCGATAAAATCCCGTTTCTTCTTGTCTTTGAATAAGCACGCGCCTACGTCACGAAAGCTCATAAAATAATTCCTACACCCTTGTATGCATAAAGGGAGAGGACCTCGCGTGGTCCAGCAGGAAGGAAAAAAATAGGCGGGCCTCAAACCGGACCATAGGGCGCGAGAAGGAGGCTAGAGAAAAGGAGCTCGTTGGAAGAGAGCGAAAGGAGGCCAGAGGAGAAGAAGGATCGAGGAACCAAGACGAACAGTCTTAGGATCCAGCTGAGATAGTGGAGAAGAGGCGGCGACCGAAAAGCGAGAGAGCTGGAGAAAGACCCCAGTGATTATATATCTGCCTACGACAAAGCGAGAGGTTACCAGGGATCCTCTTTGCCGGGAGGGACAAAGACAAGGCTAGAAACAGCTGACTACCGGAATTCGGGGTTCCGGAGGGGTGAGTACGACGAGGAAGGCACTTGAACCCCAATTGGACGAGGGCTTCCCCATTATACTCGACGTACCCAACGATTTTACACGCACTTGACTCCATTCTACCTATCCACCAGACGTAACTTTATCGTGCTCCACGACCGATTTTCCACGATCTGACGCTTACAACGTACAGATGTAAACTATGGATACTTGCAACGTACGATCGCACGAAAGTCAACAGAATCGTTGGATTGTCATCGCAACACGGCGGTCCCCCTTTGAAACCAGAAGAATTTTAACCAGACGAAAGCATCGAGGGACTACTAAGTACTTTCTTACTACGATTGTCTCGCGTATTAGACGCTAAGCTCTTTTTTTAACAAAATGGTTTCTTTCGACTTTAAAATACAAGTTGTGTTACTTCTCAACGAGAGTTCGCAAATGCTGCACGCTCAAAAGAGGTATACACAATCGCGCATTTAATGATAATTCGAGGTGTCACTTTGCACGTCGCTTTCACACGGACGGGTTAGTTATTACCAACCCCCGGCAGGCAGGCAAGCGGACGGGCACGCAGTGCATTCATTCGCGCAGAAGGCAACGGAATATTTTTACTCCGGAGACTATAAATCCGTTATCTCGGCTACGCTTCGTGACGGATACGTCGTATTTCAATCGACGCACAAATAGAGTCGGTCAAAAAAATTACTACGCAACCAGTTTCGATGTAACCCGACAACGTCGACCTTACATTCGACGATTGTATACAACCGTGTCTTCCATTTTTCAGAGCGGAACCAGCGGAGGGAATGATTTGTTTGGATCCGTTCACGAACGCGCAGCGATGTTAAATTCCCGTCCGTTTCCTGTTAAATACAGCGGAATTGGAAACGGGTAGTAAGCATAGCATAAGATGGAAAACAAATGCGTTCGATCTACACGTGTCTTCTACGTAATTCGAGCGTTGATCATGAAATGTTGAACACGATTTAGCATGACCGAAGTCAGACCGGGTAAACTCGATCCACCACGCCTTTCCCGACCACGTGGCCTTACTCTACCGACTGGTGCTCTCTCCCCTAAGCTCTCGTGTCGCTTCTATATTTCATCACGGCTGTTATGATAATCGTTGCGCGACAGAGATAGAGAGAGACGGACCGATAGAGAGAGAAAGACCTTATGAATGTAAACTCACCTGCTATAGCCATCCAGGGGTAGAAGGTATGGTTGGCGGTGGGTTGCTGATGTAGTTGCGTGGCAACCGGTTGGCTCGCGGACGAGTTCAGACTGCAGGTGTTCCAGGACGACGTGAGGGACCTCGAGGAACTGTTGTTACCAGGACTCGATGCCGGATCACCGCCTACGAGACCACCATAGCTACCAACCCTCGTTCCTTCTGGTGTACACGCGGAAGGACGTACGACCGAATTGCTCTGGCTATTAGCCCCCGAGGTCGCTGACTGCCAAACGTCCTTGACGGCTGCGGCTGCCATCACGGCCGCATAGCCATTCTGATGAGCCGCTGCTTGATCCTGTTGCTTGCAGTCCTTGGTCGTCGTGGTGGAGTACGAAGACGTGGTGTGACCGGATGCTTCGGGTGTCGTCGAATAGAGCTTGCAGGCCGTCGCGACGCTTGCATCGTACGGAGAGTCCTGCGGTGGTCTCGTGTTGGTACCACCGCCAGGATGTATTCCCAACGAGGACGAGGTGTGATGATGATGCTGCGTAGACGCGTAAGGTGACATTCCCAAGCCAAGAGGGAAACTTCGGTAGGCCGCGGCTGTAGCTGGATCGTGATGTTGGCTAGCAGCCCCTGCTTGATGGTGGTGGCTTCCGTAGAAGCCACCCGCAGTCTGCTCAAAATATGAGTTCATTATTCCGGGTATTTTGAATCACTTGCACTGAAACACCGGCACTCGAGAAGAACAAAAGCGTACGAGTAGGTAACCCACCTCTCGAGAAAACTGTTCGTTGCTTCAAATGAAAGCGTCGAGCACACGCGGCTAGTCGACCGACACTAGTCCGTGCTCCAACCCGATTTATTTCGGGTTAGGTCCGTTCACCGACCCAATCGTTCCACGGGAGATAATTATTGTTTTCTGTTCCGTGTTCAGCTGATTCGCGCCAAAAGGCGAGAGGCGGACGCGTCGCGTCGTGAACCGATACGCTGTTTGACGCGGGTGGCGACAGGTGACAGCGTCGACGAGGGACAAGCAAACGGGCATTAAACCGCTTTTAAGAGGTCATAAAAGTCATCGGTAGGTAGGTAGGTATAGAGCGGCGGCTTACAACCAGAGTGTCAATGTCAGTAGGCCGTGGGATTGTAATTTAGAATGGGACTCATAGCAGCGGCGGGGGTTGACTTTTATGGGTTTGTTATGGTTACAGCTACCGGCAAGAGTATAAACCGGCGGTCTAGGCGGTGGAAAACAGGCGATGATCGTTAAATCGTTACGACGCAATAAACCGGAGTAATAAGACTGGCTATAAAACTGCCTGTGTGGATCTGTACCGCGTGCGCGCCCGTCGACGGTTCGGTCGGCCGGCACGCGACGATCTCTCCCTCGCGAACACCTCCCTCTTCCTCTCTATCGTTTCGAAATGTATGTATGATGATTTCTGATCGGGCAGGCCCGGGGCCCTGTATCGAAAAGTCGGTCGATGTTTTAAAGGGGCCAAAGCAACCGTTGACTCTGTCCGCACTGCACACTAGCACTAGTCGAAATGTGACTTCGCTGATGACTGTGAGAGGTTCAGTACGAAGCGACGTACGAAGGGGATCGTAACGAACCACGGTATGCCAGTGCGGTGGTCCACGGCACACTACCGCTTTTCTCGCGCCCCGTGTACCGCCACTCTGTACGGTCCTCTGTCTCTTGCTCGCTCGTCCGTCTCCTTTTGGCTCTCTGTTTCACCATCAGCTTCTCCTGCTTCCACTACGAACTTTCCTCGCTCTCTCCTTTCCGACTGCTCCTTCTCGCTCCCGCGCGCACACTCTTCCACGGTGTACTATGTGCCGACGAGGACCGCGCAACGCTGCTTTTCCTCCTTGTCTTTCACGCGTCGTCCCCCTCTCCGATACGATAACCGACTTCTCTCGCTTGCTCCGTCGTCGCTCTTCTCCCCCTCCCCCGCACACGACGCCCCCTCTACGCTAACTCTCTCACCCTCTCATTCCATCTCGCTCCACCTCTCGACGTCGCGGCGCGACTCGTCCCGTCTCACCTCTTCTACGCTCTCTTTGACACGCTTACTCTTTCGTTCTCTCGATTAGACTGTACAGAGCCCCCTGTCGAGCGCTCGACCAACTCAACGACGTGCCGCCAGATTAAATTCGTGCTTGCTGCTTCGAACCATGTTATATTTTCCACATTCGAGGCAGCGGTGTAGATAAGACGTTGAAGAAAAACCCGAAAAAAATGAAAAAGATCGTAGAATGGAAAAGAACCGTTCAACTAAAAGACAGTCGGAGACGGGAAAAGGAAAAGAGACGAGAGCACGCGTAAGAGTAAGTTTCAAGACGCGACTAAGAAGCGGAGAAAGGGAAAGGGTAACGAAGAGGAACCGAGAAAGAGTAAGACACGGTACTACCGCAGCTAAGAGGGAGACGAGAAGTACGAGGCCGCGGCGTCCACCGGGAGCAGAGGGGGGAAGAAAACAGGGTGCCAAGGGAGGAGGTTATGCTTAAGGACCAATCAGAATTGAATTCGTCACGAGTACCGCGCCAGCACAGCACGAAAATTCCTACGCCATGTGAAAGTAGTTCCAAGTTGGAACGACGCCCATGACCGCCTAGGCGCCGCCCCGCGTTGCCCCCACCAAATGGTAACGCGCGAGCAGCCGCGGATACAGACACGTCGGCCGCCGTGCGGTAGAGCGAAAGCTGCACGCCACACGCGCGTCACGCAACCTTTCCTCTCCTCTTCTCTTCGCTCCGCGCTCTCCGACCGTTCGTGGGGATACGTGCACCGCCACCTCTGAGTTTCGTGCCGAACTAACGCTGCCAGATCCATTCAGACGTTCAAACGACCAACATCAACGAGGCACCTTGCGATTATCGTTATTGGCGAAAGCGATCTCACGAATTGACTCTTACATACGATCGTTTGATCGACAAGCAGTAGAAGAAGAGAGAAAGAGAAACGAATATACGAAGAGCAAACGTTTCATACGCATGGAATGCATTTCAACAGCTCGATGGTTTCGATTCTGGCACAACCGGTCCGATGTTGCGGAGCCTGTCCGAGGCGTTTGATGATGACGCGATTGCGAGTACGAACGACAGGAATGTTATCATAAACGTCTTTTACGAGATACTTCGGCGTTTTACGAACCAATTAGACTACGGCCGTACAATTAAAACCACGTAAAAGTGGGCCTCGTGAGGCAAACGGGCAAGCAAGCGCCGTGGCGCGCGCCGCACCAGTATCGGGAATGTTTATTGGGATGTAAATGTCGCTGGATTATCGCCCCCGCGGTTCGCACCTCGTAAATTATTCCGTAACGAGCCGAGTAATGCCCATCATAAGCTGCTCTCAGGGGCCGGACCGGACTATTTGCTCGTTCACTTTCGCCATTATGAATGTTTAGGATATAACCCACCTACTTCGAGCGTGCCTCGGAAAAAGGGTTTTTAGACGTACACATTTTACGGAACGGTATCGTTTACGAGTAATTATTCAAACGTTCCATACGTCCGCGTTATCGCTACAACACTTCATTTGTCACTTTCTATGTCACTTTAAAATGATATCGCTCTTTGTTTGCAATCACCTTCACAGCCTATTGTCTTCACGTGTTACGTACGCAAAAGATACATTTAGCAACAAGATGCTAATAAAGCAAACTCATGTTCGTAGCCAATGACTATAAACATAAATGTCAACGTAAATAGCAATTTTGTAAATTTCAAATTTAAAACTGAATCACTGTTAAATATCCGTGACATTTTTGTACCAGTGGATAAAATATGAAATATAAGTTTTAAGATCGAGTCGTTATACTTTCATACATGACAAGATTACAAAGTTGAATTCCAAAAATTACATTGGTATGCGAATTTTGTACAAAGTAGCGCAATAAATTGCACTGTCCGTAGTCTATTCGCACAGGTGCATTCATGTACCTTCCGCGTCACATTTATTAGTACGTCGGGCAAGTATTGCGGTTCATCGAAACAATCGTCAAATACTCAGTTGGATAGAGCCCTGATGAAGAGACTTGATGCAGTTTTCGCTTTTGTGGGACTCCGACAGGTGGCAGCCCGTTTGCTTTAAAATCATGACGGCAATAAACTCCGGTTTTATGACCACTTGAACAGAATCGTAAAAGTCAGGGCCTTTAAGCTTATAGCATGGTAGGACGCGTGTCGAATATGGTGGGGGCGTGAAGAGAGCCACCATAATGCAGAAGAAGGGGAAGGGTGTCAGGGGCTGTGTGGGTAGCCAAAATGGGCCTAAATGCCCCTTTTAAAACGCCATTGAAGATAACCAGGCAACCACTAAAAGGGGTTTATTTAATAGCCAAGGTTGTTCTCACAGAACCGGACACTCTGTAGCTACTGACGACAGTTACCTGATGGCTTCATGATTATTACAAGCTTTTTCCCAGCGTGGTTACATGTTACTACATCTATTCATGTTATGAACGATTCTATTCGATACAGATACAGGTACAGTTCGACATTACTTTGATTACACTACAGATTCGTTCATTCTCGCGGGGTCGACCTATCGAAAACTATGATTGAAGTATCACGCGCGTAATTCGAAATGGATAGATCTTTTCCTTATGGATTTCAAACAAAACCAAAATGGAGAAGCGGAATTCGAAAGTGGAAGGAGGTATTAGAGGCGTAGCTATAGCAACGAGAAGATGGACACGAAAGCAAAGGGGCCGTTGCACCCGACTCGAGCAAATCTGCACTCTTGCTAAACCAGCAACCATTCTTCATCGCTCTGGTGGCTTTGACTCTTCTGGTCTCCTCCAGCATGGTTCAATGCACTGCTTGGACTCTCATTTTGGTTGGTCTTCTTTCTTCCCTCCCCTCTAACCCTACTGTGCTCCGCGGCTCGTTTCCTTCTCTTTTGCTTTCTTGTACCTTCTTCCTCCGCTCCTCTCCAGGGAGACCAGGGATGAATATTCGATCATGAACGAGCGTCAGAATTTTAGATAAGCGCGATTCTCGTCGTCGTTATTCGCACGGATCGAAACTCTTGGGGATCAACCTGTGATATAGAGGCACTCGCGGCGGTAGATGATAATGGCGTCCTGGGCGGTGCATTCAAGCAAAGCACAGCTTTGTGCATTACGTACAAAAAATTATTTACAAACTTCAATATTAATTACTATTTCGGGACAGCAATTCCATATATATTAAAGAAAATATCCATCCATCATAAAGAAATTAACCATCTAAAATATAGTGTAAGGTATAGAATAAACACATCGGTATAACAAAATAAAATACATAATATGTTACAAGATGTGAAGAAAAATTGCACGAAAACGTGCAATTGTGTTTCATAAAGTATGAGTAACGATGGATCATCACGATTTGTTGAATAAAGCAATTTTATGTGTCTATGTATATTGATCTGTAGTATGTCAGGAAGAGAGACAGGAGCGCGTGAAAAGGACATAGAAGAAGTCCTCTTTGCCATCTGGCGGTTTCCTGCAGTATCACCTGGCTGCAAAATATCCGTGCAGCTCTCTACAGTTTTCGCTGTCGATATTTTCATCGGATTGAAAATCTAGTCGCGCCTAACACTTACACAAGGTATATAAATATTTTCTGGCCCCGATTCGGGTCTAAATAGAAATTCAAAGCGCTGCTAATGCTTCTGATGCAGAAGCACTAAGGAGAAATGAAACGGCCTCTGTTGCCAATCCACCTTACGCAGCTGCACTCGTAAATCATAAGGTGGAACGTGAATGTTCGAATAGCTGAACAGATTAATATACACGTGCAGTTTGACGTCTTTGGTTAGGTAATCTTAACGATAATTTTACACGCAACGCTACGTCGCTGTAAAATATGAAATCGCGGGTAAAAAAGAACAGACTAACAAGAGGAGGTTGTGTATAAGAAAAAAATATGCACAAAAATAGATTATAGAGGAGACGGCACCTACGTAGACGTAATTGGTGACCAATTTATTTAAACACGAGTTGGAAACTCGTTAAACTTGATGGTGGCCTACCTTACCGGTTGAGGAACCTGTTCAGGCCGCGCACGAAATATTAAGGACTATTCACACATTCCACTCGGAAATGCCAAGAAATAAGGAAAGTAGAAGCACTGCAAGAGTGATGTATAAAAGATGTATTAGGTCTATAAAAATATACTCCACATTACCTATTGAGGGAAGAAACGAATTATGTACTGCAATTAATGTATTGTCAAAGATTGCGCGTAAAGCAATGTACCCCGAAAGAGAACATTATCAGTAAAAAAATATATAAATATACAGTCAGTGATACGTAATGATAGGACATGGAACTGTCGTGGGTAATGAAGGAAGTGTGTTTGCGACGACAAAGAAGATAATAATGGTTGGTTAGAAGTAGCTGAGTGACCGAATGAATGAGTGGCAGCTTACATGTAAACAAACAAGTATCAATGCGTCCAAATTGAAACATAAAACGAAATGAATGAGCCCATAAATACTTAGACCTAATGGTAGGGTGCGGGTAAGCTATTGCTCGAAGATCGTTACTTATGCGAACGTTGTAAGAGAACGTGCTCGATAGCTTTGTAAATACTGGGTTCACTTTAAATAGCGTTTCTAATCAAAATTTCACTGTCAATAGTTTTGCTACTTTGTGTTTAATACCGGAGATATTGAGTATTAACTTTTTTAAATGCGTCATTGTCACAACTATTGCGAGATAATCATAAATACGCGGATTATCTTAATCCATTTTCAATAGTTTGGAATATCATATAACTGATTGTTGACTCAGTGGTATGAGTTTTGAAACTGCTACTTGCAGTATTCATTTTAGATCATTCACTCATAATCGTTAATTCCTGCATTTTTCTGAAAAA